CTTAGTAGAGAATTTTTACAAGGAAAAACATGCCATCAAAATTAAGATATAAAAAAAGAAGAAGAAAGGAATATCCTCTTCCCAAAATCATTTCTAAAAACTAATCAAATCATGGTACAAACTTTGTATGCAAGAAACTATTAGGATGAACCTTACAAGCCAATCTCTAGTTATATAGGAATTACATTTTAAGTTATTCATGTATGACATTTTATTAATTTATAATAACTATGAGGTAATTCTTTATTCATAAGTTGTGATTTAATTACTTTTTGTACTTATATAGATAAAGCCCATGAAACTATATATGCTTTGTAAAGGAATTGTATTGGGATACAACTATGATATCTTTTTGCATCAAAGAATTATTCATAAAAGTTCATGATCATTGTATTATTGAGACGAGGCATCAATAATACTTAAAGGTTGACGCATGCTATATTCCTTACTTGTGAAGTAAGCAACTGTTCTCATAGGTTGAAGTATAGAGATACTTGAAACTAGCATGTGAGTGCTTGGAATGAAAGAGTAAGTTCACTGAACATGACCCTCTAGGAGAAGTGCATTTGGTATCTCACTCAAGTGTCTATGCAATACTTCTCATGTGTCAGTTGTGTAACTGCACGTTAGACTTGAGACACTAGGTTATCTTATATGTAGAGTACTATACTTTAATTTTATCCCTACAGGTGCCTAACTAAAGATGCTAAAATAAGATGTTTTTGGGTATAGTATGAAATATATAAAGACAAATTAATAGTCAAGATAGGAATCATCACCCAAGTGATTCAAGGGGAAATATATTAGGCAAAATGTTTTCAAACATTTTTCTCTAGTAAAGCTTCCCCTAATTTTTTTTTTCAAAAAGATTTGCATTTAAGTTTGAAAGCACTCTTGAAAAAACATCTTGAAAAATCTAGCCAACATGAATGGAAATTTAAGTACAAGTTTACTCACTATATTTCTCTTAGTTTTTGTTGTATAAAAAGAAATAGAAAATAGAGTATAAGAATAAAGGAAGAAAAACTCATAGAAAAATAGAGCATTAGTAGCACAAGTTAAGTATAATTATCAATCAAAATTTAATAATAAAATTATAGATGTTGGGGATTTAAATCATACTAAGATAACTCATACATAGTGAAATATTATTAAAATTTTAATTTCCAAATCCATGGATCACTTTAATTAAAACTAATCTAGCTAACATGTTTTTCCTTGTAAAAATTCTCTACTAAGAATATCAGGTAGAGAATTCAATTCTCCTTTGATATTTCTAATGTCAAAATCAAATATACTTAAAATTGCTTTCCATCGAGCAAAAATTTTTGTAAGCAATATTTTGGACATCCTTTTGTAAAACTTCTTTTACTGACTTGCAATTAATTTTGTGAAGGAATTTTTGATATAGTAAATCACTTTAGAATTTTGAAATATATAAAATGCTTGATAAAATCTCTTTTTTGATAGTATTGCAATTTTGTTGGGTAGGCGTTCAATGTTTTAAGGTGAATTGGATTATTTGTTCCTTCTAATTTTGACTTGCTTAAGAACACCCCCTCATATCTTATGTTTGAGACATCAATTTTTACAATCTTTAAGGCACTTAGATCTGCTAGATGTAAGTAAAGGAGTTTTTTAATATGAAATTTAATTTGTTAGATAACATTGGCATGCTCTTGGGTCCAAAGAGTAGGATTCCTTATGAGCCTATCATGCAAGGGTTTATAGAGTTTGCTATGGCCAAGGTAAAAATCTATAACATAATTAAGACTTCTAGGAACCTTTGGAGTTAGATCTTGTCTAGAATTTGGTTAGGAATTTTTCTACAAAATTTATGGATCTTTCTATTAGTGTAATGGTTCCTTGGGTTACATAATGACCTAAGAATCCTACTTTAGTTTGGAACAAGCTAATTTTAGATTTGAAGACTACTAATCCATTTTTCTTAATTATATTGATAAAAATCTTAGGATGTTTAAAGTGTTCTTCTAAATTTTTAGAAAACACTAGGGCATCATCTCTGTAGACATAAATTAGGAATAAGAATTTAAGATTTCATTCTTTATTCTTTGGAATTTTGATGGCGTATTTTTTAATCCAAATGGCATAACATTCCATTCGTATTAGCTGAAAGAGACAGTAAATGTTGTTTTATATCTTTCATATTCTTTGATTTAAATTTGCCAAAATCCTAATTTCATGTCAAATTTTGAAAAATATTTGTATTACATAATTTTTGTAACAATTTTTTTTTTGTTTGGGATTAGATATCTGATCCATTTTAAAGCTTTATTTAATGGTTTGTAATTTATTACTAACCTTGGTGTTTCTTTCTCCAATTTTGTAATTTTTTATAACATAAAAAACATAATAGCTCGAGGGTGAACTGCTTTCCTTATGAGGTTCATTTTAAGAAGATCCTGTGTTTTTTTTGTACAAAACGCTTCTATTTCTTTGTTCATTTAAATTGGTCTTGCTTTAGTAAGAATTTGTTTTTCATTAAAATCTTTTTCATAAGGTAAGTTGACTTCTTGTTTGTTCCTATCCCAAAAGGCATTGGAAATATTATAACAAATTGTTTTTTTAATGACTTTCAAAAAAAATTATTTTTTAATTTCTTTTTTGATTTGTTCAATTTTTTGTTGAACAATTCTATTACCTAATTGTTCATTTATTCTTTTAAAAGCAATTTCTTCTTTTAAATAAGTAATTTGTTTTTACTTGTTATTTATTAGAGAATTTATTTAACCCATATGAACAGATAAGGATTTTAGTAAGTTAAAATTTCTAATTTTTGGTTTTGCTATGAAAGGAAAAATTATTTTGTTGTTCAATACTTTAGTAGTAATTGCTTGGTTTGTAACTTTATATGGTTTAAGTAAAGATATGAATGGTATGCCCAGTATGACATTTGCATTCTTGATTGAACGGATGTGGGCACATGGAATGTGCAAGTGAATTGTTAACAAGGACATGGTTAAAATTGATGAAATGCAAACATGTGATGTATGTTATGACAAAGGTATATGAATATATGTGTGTTTAGATTTATGTTTGTTACATGAAATGAGTTGTGCTAATGTTGTTTATGTTCATGAAGCTTGCTTGAGTCTAGTAGACCTTATTTACATAAGCCTTTGCATCGGTCATGGTTCGAGATTTAGGTTGTTACAAATATTCACCTTGCTTGTATAGTTTATCAAACACTCAAATCCTTAAGAGATATGGAAGTTATGCCTTAGCCTTCAAAAGATATTATTTAAAAGTTTTATCTAAGTCTTAAAAGATAAAAAGATTATATATCTTAATCTTCAAAAGTTATTTGTATTGATTGATATTCTATAGTGAATTCAACTTCTTAGCAATTTAAAGGAGAGGACACAAGCACTAAGAGGTGGGAGAAAACCTCCTTGAATTAAGTTTGCAATTCTCTTTATACTTTTTTTCTTTATTGCATCTCCTTTCGATTAAATATTTGTTCAATTATTAATTATTTTAATATTTGATATATTTCTTTTAAAAATTTATTTTATAAAGAAGAATTTTAGAGATCTAATTTATTCCCTTTTTGGATTATTCACTCTAATTAAATTAAAAAACTCTTCCCAATTTTTCTGTCTTTTTGTTTTCGATTTTTAAGGTTTAAGATTTCAATTGCCACCATTTATTCCTCCACCACCCGCTTCGCATCTCCTTGCTAGTTTTGCCTCTCCTCCACTTGTAAATCATTTTACAGAGAAGCAAGATAGGAAATGACAAATACTATTTTATCATTTTTCTTTCTTTTTTCCCTTGTTTTCCTTATATATATATATATATATATTAAATAAAACACCTACATCGATGATGTTGCCATCATATACATCATGGCTTGGTTGATAATTAATTTTATTTTAAAAAATTTTAATCTTTTAATTACAATTAACAAAACATTAGATTTTTCTATTATCTTACATTTTTTCCCTTTCACATGTTTTTCATGAACCCTTCATGCAGTAGGTGTGTCAAAATTTTTTTTTCCAAATATAAGGTGTGTATAAAATTTAGTTATGACAAATTACAAGGTGTGTTTTCATATTTTATGCTTTCTCAGTCTAATAAGTTAAGAAATTAAAAAAAAAAGAAAATTACAAAATAGGTTAATGAAGCAAAAATAATTGGACCTTGTTAACATGGTTACAAACACTTAGCAAGAAGGAAATAAAATTTATAAAATACTATTAAAGAAGTCATTATATTATTTCTTTTCTCACGAGCTTCTTTTCTAATAATCTTGTTCATTAAATTCTTCCTTCGCTTGGTTGAATTCAGCCGGTTGAGATCCCTTTTTTGATCTCATCTACCTTTCAATAATTTCGAAAACTTCAATATCCTCCCTTTAAAATATTATACCAATGGTAATAAAAAATGTAAATATTTGTGGTCTATTACCCTTTATTGTAATTTTCCTTTATTTTAAAGAAGTCATTATATTATTTTTTTTTGACTAACATCCTCACTAATAATCTTGTTCATTAAATCTTTCCTTCGCTTTGGCCTAATTTAGGTTGTTGGTATTATTTTTTGATACCACTTGTCACGGAATCTATATTTTATTTTTCGATACCATTTGTCACTTGTTAATATCCTTTTTTGATACCACTTGTCATTGTTAGGAATTTAAACCCAACTCTATGAGTCGCAATTTAAACTCAACTTGACGTGGTTTTGAATTCTAAAAATAGAATTTAAGTAAGGTTATAAATTACGAGTTTATATTCTTAATCTAAAAAACATACTTGATAAGTAGTGAAAAACTTATATTTATATACTCTAGATTTATCTTTATCTCTGTGAGATTCGTAATATCTTATTTATTGATACCTTTTTTCAATAATTTCGAAAGATTCAATATCCTTCCTTATAAATATTATACCAATGGTTGCAAAAATGTAAATATTTGTGGTCTATTGCCCTTGATTGTAATTTTCCTTGAAAAACCCAAAAAGGAGAAGGAAGCACGCAACTCGGTACTTCCGTCTCTTTGAGAAACTGGAAATCCAGCAGCCTCATCCACCCAAAGCCAAACCCCACAAAAACCCACCCTAACCCCTCGCCTCCCTTCCTTTCATTCAAATCTTTAGGGCCTTATTCAAACATCGGCAGCAGCACGCATGGCTTCTCATGCCGCCAATCTGTGGGTGCTGCTGGGGCTGGGCTTAGCTGGAATTCTTCTAATGACCAAAAGGCTTAAGAAAACTATTAAAGCTGACTTTGGAGCTTTCATCCAAAAGCTAGAGCTGCTTCCACCGCCTCAACCTGCTCCTCCCAAAGCTCCCCACCCTCTTACCGGTCTCAGTTTCGCCGTCTCTGACCTGTATGCTGTTCTTCTTTTTATCTTATATGAGTCTGTTGTGCTTGACAATTGTTGGGGAAGTGGAAATAAATGGATTTTTTTTCTTGTTTTATTGTAACTGGTAATTTAATTGCTGGATTAATTTTGTAGTTAGGAGTAGATAGGAGAAGTGCTTAAGGCTAAAGGACATATATATATATATATATATATATATGGCATCTTTATCCTTTAGGGCAAGAAAGAAAAAAAGAAAGGAAAGGAGAGAAAGCCAAAATATTTATGGACTTTTGTTGCTTCAACTAACTGTCATCTGCAAAAGGAGTGGCATGGTGGAGTTGGAGTTGGTGCTTGAGTGAATGCTTTCTTTATTGGGCCGTTAATCTAGTGATGTGAAGCTCTATTTGAACAAGAAATAGCTCTCTTTCTTTGGCACAAACGCATACTTATATCCATAAACCTTAATAAGGGTTTGGCTGCTGCTTTTGCTACTTGCTCTGGTATTTTAGAAGCAAATGTAATAATAGGCTTCCTTTGGATTCAAAAGAAGTAATATTTTTGAACGCCAGAAATTAAAAATTTAATTATTCAAAAATATAAATAAAAATGCAATTTTTATGAATAACGCAATGCATGAGTTTACTTCTATAGAGAACACTTATGTTTCAATCTTTATTGCATTTTAGCTTAGCAACTTGTGAGGAAGCAAAAAGCTAAAAGCAATTAGCAAAACCAATAACCTAAATTTTTTTCTCTGCTATTATGAATACTTTGAAATTTCTCATTTTTCATGGTTATTTGTTTCAAAGATTTCATTGGGAGTTGCGGGAAATGGTTAAAGAGTGTAATGGGAAAATTCAATCGAGTTTTTGAATTTTTTGGTATTCTGTTGTGTTTTAAGCATTAAGGTTGTCAATTCAGAATTAGTTATGTTACACTTGCATAGCCCTATGGTTTTACTCTTTCCTCTGCTCAGTATCTTGCCTGCACTATCTATTTGGCTTCTAATAGCTGATATTGATGTCATGCTTATCAGTTTTGACATTGAAGGATATGTGACTGGGTTTGGCCATCCAGATTGGGTGAGGACGCATGAAGCATCTTCTCGAACGTCTCCTGTGGTCTTGAGCCTTGTAGAAGGAGGCGCCTCTTGTGTTGGGAAAACTGTTGTGGATGAACTGGCCTACGGGTACGTGGCATTATGAACTACTCGCATGAACAGTAAGCTTTGGTTTTACAACCTGTTTGGATTGAGGGTAATGGAGGGAAAGGAGGGACAGTGGTACCCTCTCTTTTGTTTGAAGAACATTTAAATAGAAAAAGAGGGATTGGGGGGGTGTATGAGCGCTACTCCATACCTTCATCTTTTTAAACCCTTCAAATAAGGGGCATTTGGAAGGGATGCTTTCTTGTTAAATTTTGTTAATGGGAAGACAAGTACCCTTATTTTAACATTTTGTTTTAACTCATAAATGGTATAATAGTAATGACATTACAAATTATCATTACATTCCCTTTTCACTCCTTAACCAAACAAGGTTGTTCTCGTTTCCTCTTCTTTTTCTATGACATCCAAACAAGGAGAAGCAGACCCTCTCCCCTTTCTCTCCTTCCCTTTTCCTAATGATTCCAAGCACAGTGTTATTTTATATTTACTGATGACGGAAATCTCTCTTGGTTTAGGTATTTTCTTATCATATATGATTTAGTTTTTTGGTTCTTAAGATTTGCATGATGCTATATGCTTTTGGCATGCTCTATTTTCAGTATCCATGGTGAGAATAAACACTATAGCACACCGACCAATCCTGCAGCACCAGCACGTATTCCAGGTGGATCCTCTAGTGGAGCAGCTGTTGCTGTTGCGGCTAATTTTGTAGACTTCTCTTTAGGTGAGCTTCGTGCTTTCTCTCTGATGGCTTAGCTTCCTTAGTTTCTCTAAGTTGCATTCTTGGTCTTGGCATATATATGACCTTTCAGGGAAATGTTAATATTGTTTATCATTTGTCTTAGACACTTGAGCTTACTCCGTCTTGTCTGAAGAATGAATATTTCCGTAACAATAGTTTGATGATGTTAATCTTATTCATCAAAATTCTGTATAGTTTTAATTTAATTGCCATATTTTAGGGCAAACTACCACACTCTGTTTACTCTCAACTAGTGATGTTTGGGGATATCTAACCTTGCTATTGATTGGAAGTCTGATTTTCCTAATGTTTGAGTTTAACCAAACATGATATGATCTTCATGGTCCTATATAATATTGTATTCCAGAAGATCCTGTATAATTTTGGCTCTAATTTTGCTCATAATATTTTGTGAGTAGGCATTGATACTCTTGGTGGCGTGAGAGTACCTGCTGCCTTCTGTGGTGTTATTGGACTTCGACCCTCATATGGTGTTGTTTCTCACACAGGAATCATACCTGTTTCTTCAAGTCTCGACACTGTTGGTATGTATAATGAAATACCAAATGCTGTGATAGCCAATATACAATTTTGGGTGTTGTGAGGCATATGGGAATATGCAGTCATATAATTCTGTGTGTGATACACAATGGTTATTAGTTGATTCAAGCTTTTTAGATTATTTTCTTGTATGAAAGGAACACAAGATCCTTTGTAACATAGTCTAGTTTTATGGAATAAAAGTAAAAGCAAGTCTGTTTGCTTTCTATTATTTCATCTTCATGTAGTGAGGAAAAGAAGATATTTTTATGTATAGATGCTTGTTTAAATTGGTCTTGTCATTAAACTAACATTATGTTGGGGCCAGCAGTTTTAGCTCTCTTGATTTTAGTTTGCATCATGGTTTTATCTATCCAAATCAGCTTTTTTAAGTTGAATTTTCTCCCTATTCTTTTCTGTTTTTGGTGTATTTTCTTTTTCCCTTGCTTGTACTGTCTAACTAATTCCATAGATAACTTTTATTTTTTAGTGTTGTTGGTCTAGTTATATAAAATTATTGTCAGATAAACATTGAGCAATAATTTGTTCTGATACAGAATTGCACCATGAGATAGTTCTAACTCTCCTTTTCATTCTAGTTTAAGTTTCAAGAATTTCAACTTATTAATTAAGCTAATTATTTTCAACTTAATTTTTCTAATTTTTGGGATTTATCACTTTCTTAAGAGTTGCTTTTGTCTAAGATAAAGTAATAACTATTGATTAATAAAAATAAAATAGCTTATTCAAAAGAAAAAGGGTAATATAGTCTTCAAAAAAGTTGAACACTCCTTAAGCTGCTTGCTGACATGCACAGAGACTCCACACAGACATATTTCATAAATTTGATAAATTTTGGTCAATAATTGTGGTACATTGGGATTGAATAGCTTGAGAACCTTCTTTTTGGTTTTAAAGTTTTATTGATGAATGTTCCATGCGTAAGTGCTATATTCATTCTGATGTATGAGTTGAACAAAAGTTTGCATGTCCTTTTTTGCTTCTCATATTTTACTTGTCGAAAGCATTTACTTTGCACGTGTACTCTGCTTCTAAAAGATTATGACTTGGTGTGGTTTTAAAATTAATTGTACTTTAAGAAGCTGAATTTAGGCTGCATGTCCTTTTCTCCTTCTCATATATTACCCGCGGAAAGCATTTACTTTGCATGTGTACTCTGCTTCTAGAAGATTATGACATGGTGTTGTTTTAAATTAATTGTAGATTATGAAGCTGAATTTAAGCTGCATGTCGTTTTTTCCTTCTCATATTTAACCTGAGGAAAACATTTACTTTGCATGTGTACTCTGCTTCTGAAAGATTCTGACATGGTTTGGTTTTAAAATAAATTATACATTAAGAAGCTGAATTTAGGTTCTGAGCAGAAAAATATTAGGTAACGATCATAGCTTATTACTATGTCTATCAATCAATCATTGGCTGACTAGGTACTATGTTTGCCTTTTGCACTTGATTCTCTTTATTTGTTAATTTTCATATTTCTTCTAGATTAGTGATTTAACTAATCTGAATCTTGTCACTATGCTGTTGTGCACTTATTAAACTTGATTGCATTTGACTTGTGAAACGACTATGGCAGGATTGTTAGCTAAGGATCCTAACATTTTACATCGGGTTGGCCTTGTGCTCTTGCAACTTCCATTTTCGGTTCAACGCAATCCTAGGCAAATTCTGTTGGCTGATGATTGTTTTCAACTGCTAAAGATTCCTATGGAAAGAGTTTCTCAAGTGGTCATTAATTCCACTGAGAAGCTTTTTGGAAGTATGTTATTTCCTATATGCCTTAAAAAAGCTTTTTGTAAATAATTTTGTTGTGGTTTGTTGTTTAGACTTGTGAAATTTGCTAACTTTTCTTTTGACCTACTTAAGGACAAGTATTGAAGCATGAAAATCTTGAGGACTACTTCAGCTCTAAGGTCCCAAGCTTGAAGGAGTTTTATAGGCAGAAAATAAATAGTGATTTAAAAATTTCGTCCATAAGATTGCTTGCAAATGTTGCGCAGTTTCTTCAAAGGTGAGCTTTAATCTTAATGTTGATGTATTCAGCATGTTAGTATTTAATGTTAATTCATATGATGAAGTGCCTCTTTGCCCCCAGTTTTTTTCATAAATATGCATTTATGTCATTTCATATTTGCATTATGTTTAATGGTGCAACATACAAGCACCTGTGTTATTTCGTTCTACGAGTTCTAGATTTTGAATTTGCAGTATAAATCTATAAGTATTCCATATTTAAACCATTCAGGTAATATTTTATTAAATTTTATTATCTTTCTATGTGTTATTTTATATTTTCTATTGAGGTTTATGGTGTAGCTTATAAGTACTTATGTTATTTTAGTTTCTAGTTAGATTGTGGATTTTTGTTTGTACGAAAACAATAAGATTATGGTTTATGTAGAGTATTTGGAATGAATTTTCTTTCTTTTTATGTTTGCTCTTTCTCATTTCTTTGTAATACCTCTCCCTTATTTTTTATATTTCTCGCCTCTTTACTCCCTTAGTTTCCTTGATTTTTCCCCTTGTTCTACATCACCTTTCCCCTAACCATAAGTTTCATCATCAACTAAACATTACACTGAGCATACATATATATCTTTTGTTAAGTTTGCAGAAAAGTTTTCTGTACTACCATGCTATTCCATGCAATTTGATGTGCAAGTAGGGAATCTGGATTGTTGGAAAGTTCTTGTTGAAAATGTCTTCTTCTGTGCTCAGATAAACTGTTGAAAGTTTTTAGTCCATGATATCAATTTATGTTGTAACTGACCTATCAGATATTCTTCCTTCAGGCTGCTGAGTTACAGTTCTATGTTTAACAAGATTGGCGACATTGCCTTGAGTGAGATATTTCTTTTTCTTTTTTAATGCAGATATGAGTTTAAATGTATGCATGAAGAATGGATTAGTTCAGAAAAGCCCATTCTTGATTCTGCCGTCTCCACACAAATAAATGAAACACTGGATTTGACAGATAAAGAGATTGAAATCTGCAAATCAATTAGGAATGAGATGCGTTTGGCAGTCAATTCTCTTCTGAAGGTGAGGACTTTTGTTAGGTTATATATGTTGGAGATATATAGTGATATTAATGAATCGTTTCCTGGTTAAGTGTAAAAATGCAACTTATGTTGCATGTAATTTAAACTCAACTTGATGAATTCTGGAATGTTGTTGAAAGATGGGTGCCCCATCTAACCTCCTAGTTCTCACACAACACACCCAAGCACACATAAATATGAAGTTGTGTTTTGCATGTAGCTTAGTCATCCAAGTTTCAACTAAGCTTCAACTTGGCCGTCCACTGCCCCTAGAGCAGATCTCTTAGCTTGTCCCTTCTTCAGGCGTACTTAGATCATTAAGTTAATTACCGAGGACTTAAAACATAGTACTTCATGTTTGTTCTAAGGTTCATGCATTGCAAAGCATGGTGTAGCAGATAAAGCATGATTTTTACTTGGTAATGGAAAGGAAAGAAAAGAATAGGAGAGAGAAGACCAGGTTAATAGTTTAGTGTCTCTGAAGTCATAGCTGACAATTCTAGTGAGCCTCTGGTTTTTGTTTATAATGTTTACTGATACCTTGATATTTGGAGATGTGTTCTTATGTTCTCTTGATCTGTGATTTAAGAGTGTAGAAATTTGTTTTCTTAGTTTGGCAAGCTTGAGAAACAGAGTTTTCTCAAAGACTATCTGTCTGTCCTTTTCAAACCTGGTTTCTTCTTGTACTCATTCCATAAACACAACAAAGGATGATGTTATGGGCAAATTTACTATTCAACATGGTTTGAGATCCTTTGCATTGTCATTAACACTCAATAGTTGTTATGATGTTTGTGGTTGCTTCTTTTCCTTTTTAATCTATGCTTCAGTGCCACATTAATTGGCTCTTCTATGTTGTGTATTATACTTGTCTTCCTTTTTGTCGCTCTGGGCAGATGGCATGCATGCTGCTGCTGCTATAGGGTGCACCTGCTCTTCTCTTATTTGTAGTTGAGTCACTTTTGGACTGTTTTTTTGAGTGTGTTTGTTTTATATGTATTTGGCTTAGGATGATGGAATTCTGGTGATTCCTACCACTGCTCATCCCCCTCCGAAACTTGGTAGCAAGGAGATCTTCTCAGAGGACTACCACAATTGTATGTTTAGTCTGTTGAGTATTGCTAGCATATCTGGTTGCTGTCAGGTGAAATTCTCTCATATTGATGTCGGTAGAAAAAGCATATTGTAGTAGAAAAAAAGTATATTGTATGAATGTAAAATTGTGTATTTCATTAATGTTTCAGGTCACACTACCACTTGGATATCATGATAAATACCCTGTTTCGGTGTCCTTCATAGCCAGGCACGGTGGTGATCGTTTTTTACTGGATACGGTTCAGACTATGTATTCATCTCTGCAAGAGCATGCTGATACTGTTGCTAAGTCTAAATCATCATGTAATGCTGTCAACCGGGAACAGTCTGCTGAGGTTGCCAAAGAGAAGGTCAGTATCATCTTTCTTGTCTTCATAACACATTTTAGTACTTTAAGATGCCAATTTTTCATCCTCTTGTAGTTAATATGGGATATAACCTCTCAATAAAGCCAACATGGAATGTCTTGGTTGGTGAATTCTTATTATAGTTGTAGTTCTTAGATGATGATTAATTGAGAATTTTCTGTTTTTTTGTCCAAATTATTACTATTATTTTATGCTCTATCCAAACAATGTCCCTTCTTTGCATGTTGAGTTTTCAGGTAACTTCAAAACTTTCCTCCCGATCTTCTTGATTAACCTGAGAAATAGGAGCTATTTATTTGAATTTTTCTACACTTGTTGGAACGTGGTCTTTAGCCTTTTGAATCTTTTGAACCTCTTCATCTCTCTCAACCATAAATCACCTATCTCATTCACACTTATATTGACTTGCCTTTTGTTGTGAAGCATATTCGAGGAACAACTACTATGCCACATGTCTCTTGTAATTGTTGCTCATACACATTTAACCTTTTCGCTTTTGAAGCAATTATGACATAAGTTTTTTGGGATCACCATCTTCATAAAATATTGAATGATAAAATTCTTAGAACCATAGCTATTTCATAAAGATAGCAACTGATTGAAATGCAATAGGTTTTCTTTTAAGATCCCAATTGGGACACGTGATAATGCTTGTTCTAAAATCTCAAAAAAGATGTTTCATCATACTAAATGCTTGTTTGGCCTGGCCTTTTTTCAGCTTATCTACCTCTTAAAAGTAGAAGCCAAGCTAAATAGGATTTTTGAGAAACTCTTTAGAAAAAAGTAGTTTTTTGAAAGAACAAAATTTTAGAAAAAAGAGCTTGAAAATAAGGCACCAGAGAGGAGCTCTCTTTTCATTTTTTAAAAACACGCCAACTTTTTCAAGAAATACCTCTCTCAATCTCTTCTCTCCCTTTTTCTACAAATCACCCTTTTCCAATGCAAAATCGCTCTCTCTCTCCTCTACCTCTCTCTGCATAGACTACAAAAAAAACTTAATAACAGAATAGCAAAATCTAAGATTTTTTTGTTTTTACAAAGATTAAGAGAAAAAAGATTCAAAATTCAAAACTGTATTTACGTACTATTTAAAGGTGTTCTCTCTTATTCACTACAAAATCTAATATTATTATCACTATACAAGTTTGAGAGTTGTTTCGTTTCTTTATGGATTTTTTTGATTTTAGCATCTTAAATTGTATATGAACTCGAAGCAGACTTATTCTGCTTTGATTTATTAGGTGATTGAAGGTGGCATGAATACCCTTTATGGTAATTTTAATCAAAATTAGAGGTTATATAATTTACGTTGCCAAACAACTTTAACTTAATTTTAAAAATTATTTTTCGTATGAGTTTCATAATAGCTTTTAAGCTTAAAAAAATCTAGGCCAAAGAGGCTTTAAACTTTGAGACTCCAACTTTTAGATGGTGCATAGGGAAAATGGACCTAAAGTACGAAATCTGAACATTCAAACTATTGGGAAGGGGTCTCTTGTCAACTTGACGATGTGGAAACTGATGTGGTGAACATTCCTAACTGGATTGCTGATATGGACAATTATGTGGCAGCTGGAGTAGATGATGACATCACATGAATGACTTTGGTGCAGATCTGAATCGGGTAGGGACACTAATGTGATGGTGATCTGACCTGTTACACGACCGATGCCTGGAGGCATGTGTGTCATTTGTATAGTGACTAGCTTTTCTGTCCAGCTAAATGATCGTGTCAGTTTTCAACCAGACCACTGGAGATCGGTGATCTAGGCTTTGGCAGTTCAGCTTTCCTCTTTCATTTCTATGTTTTCCTCCTTTAAAAATGGATCTAGATTTTTTAACTTTGGAAAGTATGGAGCCAAAAATGGGTGTTGGTTTGCTGGGGAAAATTATTTTGTTTCGCTTGAATATTTTTGGCTTAAATAACAAAAAAGCCCATGAATTATATGCATTTTTACAGTTGAGCTTTATAGTTTTATTGTTCCCAATTAAGTTCTGTTTCTTTTATTTGTCGTCAATTATGTCCTTTTTCTTCTATTTTACCCAATGGAGCCTTTATTACAAAAATATAATGGATGTTATTCTTGGTGATGGTTGTCAAATCTTGTATATGTGGAATCTAATGTGATGTGCTATCCAAGACACGAGGGCTGTTGATGTGGCATGTCACATTACAAGAAATTCCATGTTATCAGCTCGTGTCTAGTTAGCATGTCATGTCAGATTCCATGTATACAGCAAGTAACAGCTGTCACTGGGAATAACATTCATCACATTTCCATTATGATATAAGGGCTCAATTGGATGCAAATAAAAGAAACAGGGCTTAGTTGGGTATGATAAAAATGTAGGGCCTTAATTGCAAAATTGCCTTAATTGCAAAAATGCATATAGTTCAGGTGTCTTTTTATTATTTTAACCAATATTTTTCTAGGAACAAGGAATTCAGAAACTCTTAAGCTATGTTTTCAGGCTCTTATATAAATTTCATGTCGGCACAGTGTGAAGGAAATAAGAGACAAATCATTATATCTGAGTAGGGAGAGAAATAGGTGGGAATAAGAAGACAGAATCAGATAGAGGAAAAAGAGCAGAGACAAAGATTGAGAGAATCAATCCAAAACTAATTAGTATTAATAACCTAAACATTAAAATATATGATTATTACCAGTTAGCCTCTAAAACGTTACAAATTAATGAAATGGAACCCTAAATAATATAATTCTTCAATTATCATCTTAATGATCTGTATCATTATCTTTTTAGAATTTGTCGCTTAGCATCAATTAAGATTTTCTGAACTTTATATCTGAAATAGGTTTAGATTTTTTCTATATATTGAAATCTACAAGATTATACCGTGTATCAATTTATTTTGCTAACATAGAAACCTTTTTTCTAGTCTGTATTGTTCATGGAATGAGTTTGAAGTGCTCGAGTGTCATTTTTGAGTTAGTACCTTCTCATGAGTGACTTTTTATCCTTGTCATTACAACATCAATCAATGGGAATATCATGACTTACTAATTCTTCGTTCTTTTAATTTATCATGGTAAGCATGAAGACTGAATTGGGGCTTTCCTTAACACTGTTGTCAGTTGATGAACTTGACCTTTAACTTGAGTAGTAATATTGTATGTTTCAGATTAGAATCTACTCTATCTGTGTAATTAACTTGTTCCTGAAATTGTCATTGTTCTGGGGAATTTGAGGACGTGTGGCAGTTCACTTCGACAAGTCAAATTAGAGTTCATGTTCTTCTACATGTTTTATATTTTGTTTGTTATCATTAGATGAATCAATTTTAAAAACTAGAGAAAACACTGGAGTGATATTGTGTACAATATGACACCTTATGAAGGTATTTTCCTAGGGCTGTTTAGAGTAAGATTGCTGCAGGAAGTGCTTGTAGCTGTAGAAATTTGATAACTGCAGTTTCCATTTAAGTGCTTACTTTAGAAAAGGAAAAGAGAAAATCATGTTTCTTCTAGTTAAAATTGAGTATATGTGTGCTTGTTTACTTTCTTGCTCCCCTTGTGAGCTTATTCAAAACGGCTTGGCTTGTGTCTTTTCTCATGCATGATTTAGTATATGTTTACCCCTGTGCTGTTATTTAGAGCCTAGTGTATGGTATCACATACTAGCAGTTTTGCAAAAATTGTTTGGTTTGTGCATTTTCTTCTTTGCCTTAAATAAATATCTTCTGTTTGTGAATTCAATGATTCAGGGCAACCAAGCATACAAAGATAAACAATGGCAGAAGGCTGTTGGGTTTTATACTGAAGCTATCAAGCTTAATGGCAATAATGCAACATATTATAGTAACAGGGCTGCAGCATATCTTGAACTAGGAAGGTAATGTTTTATGCATTGGAATTGACTTCTTCCTTCAATTTATTTTGGTGCTTCCTTGACATTTTCTTCTGTTCCATTCAGTTTCCTCCAAGCAGAGGCGGATTGTACCAAAGCCATAAACCTTGATAAAAAGGTAACTTCTCTCCTAAAAGATAATGAGTTTGATTGTGTAACTAAATGTTTTAGGCCACGTATGGCGTTTTATATGCCTTTGATTATCTTGGCATAGGAATTGAATTTACTTTAAAATCATAATTTCAACTGTTCACTCATATTTATTTATTTATTTTTTTTGTTTTGGTTCCGGGTGGGGGATTATGTGTTAGGTCAATTCCTAGCATATGTTTTAACTAGTCTCTCTCTCGGAAAGTTCATGAGTTCCATTGATATTCCAATGATATGATGTAATTTAATCTATGCTAAGGATCCAGTTGATTGTTGTTGTTGCTACTTCCCTGTTTGCTTCTGAAAGGAAAAGTTTAAAAAATTTACTTTCCTGGATAAGAAACTGCATTTGTTCAATTTCCTAAGAAAAAATTATATTTGAATTGTTTTCATTTTTCAGCCATGTGCTTATTCTGATAAAGTAATCACTCCATTTCAAATTAGCTTTCCGTCTTACTGTTCTAGCATGTTCAAGATAATGTTCCATTTCACCAAACTAGGAAACATTTTTGCAATGTTGTCCTTTATTAAAATACTAACCAATTTATAGAAAAATGGTTCTTCTTGAACAAAGTTCAATTTTAGGTGGGCCAGCCTCTAACTTTCATGGAACTTAAAGGGTAAAATAGTTAAGCAATGGATAAGATACCTCATGTGTAAAACTTTGTAATTTGCAAAGTGCACAATCAATTGGAAAGAGATTAACTTTGCTTTTTATTGCTTTTGCTTTAGAGTAACTTTTGAATAAGTGAATTTAATTAGTAAAATTGTTCTAATAGAGCCTAAATCTACTTTTGAGGTGCTTGTCTTTGTTGTTTGCGTTTGATATGTTTCTATATTTTCTTCACAATGAAGTAAATGGAATGTCTCTATTAGTTATTAGGGTTTTCTATTATATGAGTTTAGTCTGATATGAAGAGGCTGACCAGTGTCGAACTGGTTGAATGGATTATCATAAAACAAAAATTGAAATTGCTGTCCTAGTATTGTTGAAGATGATTACAGAAATATATCTCTTGATGAAGGGTGGGTGAAGTGTTTAATAGCATGCATATGAAAATAAGCTGTTCTTGTGAATTGTTTGGTTGAAGCAGACAAGATATTAATTGGGTAATTTTTTTTCTAAGCAAGCTGTGAATATCCATTTTGTTTCATTCATTCAGGTCCCAATCACAGTTTAGATTTATTTTATTTTTGTCCATTGACTAAAGCTGTTAGTGAATGCATTAGATTGTTTGATGCTTCAGTTTAGTGGACAATTTGCTACTCCTGCCTGCCACATCCTACCCCCCGCTCCCCCCCTCCCCCCTTTTTTTAAGTAGTTCAATGAAAAATTTTCTGCCCTGTGTTTTCATTACCATAATAACAGTATTTCTTATTATATTTCTCAGAATGTAAAGGCGTATTTACGGAGAGGCACTGCTAGAGAAATGCTTGGCTACTATAAGGAGGCAATTGAGGGTGAGTTATTACTCTGCATTTTTTTTGGCTATTCTGCATTGTTATCTATATGTACGCTGCTTCCTGGACTGGTTGGAATGAAGAGGGTGCTCATGGCCTGTGTGGATTATATATGTTGAGAAATTTGTGTGGAATGGAGGCAATCTGATATTCTTTGTCTTGGCAGTTGAAATTTATTTACTTGGTGAGGAATAAAATATAAATGCTTATACTCAGGTGAAGGGGAAAGTCATGATATACAAGTATTCAACTTCAGATGGCATCATGATGCTTATATACAAGTTTTACCCTTGTTTCTATTGAAAGATTTCAAAATTTTTAATGCTTTCTGGGTCGATAGAACTGGATTTCTGTGCCCTAATGGCACTTTTGCACTGCAGATTTTAGGTACGCCCTGGTGCTTGAGCCAACCAATAAAAGAGCAGCCCTTTCTGCTGAGAGATTAAGGAAGGTCTTTCAGTAGGTGGTCGGAATATAATCAAATTCCAAGTGGACTCACTGTTGCAGAATTGGTTCATATCTTGGAAGTCTTCCTTGATTTTGTTGCATCAAGGGCTTTAACTAGGTGGAGTTTTCGAGCATCTCAATGTTGCCCCAGGATTAGTTTTGAGAGATGCATCTTGATTACGAGAAATTCTCTTCCTTGGCAGGTCTGGAGAGATGTTATTATTTGATCTCATCGCATTGTCTGCAGCATTAGTTTATTATTATTATTGTCAGTGTTGTAAGGATAGTCCAATTTTGTTCCTTAATTTTTTTTTTTGTATTCTTGTGCAATACTCGGGTTGGGGTTTGGGAGGGAGGGGGGTTTGGTGGCGGGGTGGCTGAGGTTTTCACACAATCTTGGTTAAGAGTGGCTTTTAAAAGTTTCCTTCCTATATTTTTGTTTTATATAAAGCTGTCGGCATGTTCTCTGATGATGACTGTTGAGCATTTACTCGTGAAAATAAGTGATCTTTTATATTTTTTGCCATTCGCTACAAAAGAACGTGAACTATTAATGGTTACTGAATGAATTCAGAGAAGGATCCCCAACTCCAACTTCGGCTGTCATTGTAAAGTGCAACTTATTTTCAAAGAAAGAAATAAGGGTAAAATACATTAACATTTTTAAGTGTTGTTTATAATTTTATACGAATTTATTAATTTTTGAAATATATAGTCCGTTGTGAAAGTATAAATGATGTTAACGGTATATTGGAAATGACTAAAATGCCTTTTGCATAAAAAGCTCTAATCACGTGTTACAAAAACTTTAATTAGTTCAATTTGCATTCATCTGTCTTTCATTTTGTTGTTCATTCACACCAATTGGCTAGGGATTTTGTAGATTCTTTTCGATTAAAAGCTTTATCTTACAGCGGAGAAGTCATAAACTATTGTGTTATTTCGAGCTCTTTAAATCCTAGCTCAAATTGAGAGTCTCAAATTGTGAGTGAAGGTTAGGATTCATTGATTTTGTTGTCATTGTGGTAAGTATTGTGAATTTGTATTGCTATGGTGAGGGTTAAGGTTAGCGTTTCGATTAGGAATTGGGGATTTAGGATGAGGGTTAAGATTAGGGTTTCAATTAGGATTTGGGGATTTTAGGTGAGGGTTTACGGTTTTATTGGTGTTTGAAGTTCATTATAAGCTATTAGGGTGACAGTTAGAGTTTAGGTCTAAGTTTAGGTTCAAGAAATGGGTTTGAGTTTAGGGTTTGAAATTGGAGATTTAAGGTTTGATAATATTAAAATGATAAGCTTAAAGCAAAATTACCAAAAGGGGGCTTAGAGTTAAGTGTAACCTTCATAAAATGCCTTATGAGTAACTTATTACCTTGCCGTTTCCAACAAGATCAAGCACAACATTCACAACATGCCTTTTGCAAGATTAGACGTAACCTCTACAACATACTTCATGAAGGATCAAGCGTGACCTCTATCAAGACACTGTCTTGTTCGTGTTCAAGTACAACCTTTACACAAGAGGTAGCCTTTGAAAGGATCGGACAAAACCTTTCTTTTGCTTTGAGGTATAACCAATACAACAACGAATTCTAATGAATCTCTAACTCAAAATCTTTAGAAAGGTTGATAAAGAAGTTTAGGATCAGAAATGTGAGAGCTTTCTTAATGATGTGAATGATCAAAGAAACTTTAAGTTCAAGAAGTATCAACTAAAAGATAAAAATGTGATCTTTAGGCTCTGCTTTTACTCAAGGATAAAAACTTTTTGCTCACAGCTCTTTCTCCACTGTTGATATTTGTTTAAGAACTGACTTCTTTTTCTTCAAAATCAATTTTTCTTATTATAAAGAAATAGATTTTGTTTTCTTTCACTTAAGAATCAAGTTTTTTCTATTAAGAATTTAATTCCGAGGCTGGCACTTTGAATTTGGAAACTAAAAGATCTTTGAGAAAATTAAGAGATATTTCTTTAAGTTTAAGAACATGATTATTCATATTCAAAACATGTTCAAATAATCATAGCATTTCAATAAATTCAACTTCAACACTTCTTTGAAGATTTTCTTCATATTAAAAAGTATCTTCCATTTATTTTCAAATCTCATTGACTTTAATTAATTTTGTCATTTAAAAACAAGAATAAAGCTAATAGGTAAGAAATTGGGGATTTAGGGCTATGATCTAGTTTAAGGTACCCTAAACAAAATTGTACCCTTAAATCTCCAATTTCTTACCAAACCCTAAATCCCCAATTTCAAACCCTAAACCCAAACCCATTTCCTTAAATTGATCAGCATTGAAGTTGGAAGGTTTAGTAAATAATAGGAGATTTAGGGCTCAAGTTTGGTTTAAGGTACCCTAAACAAAACTGTAACCTTTAATCCCCAATTACTTACCAAATCCTAACTCCCCAAATTCTAAGGTGATCAAGTTAAGGTTTAAGGTTCTGGGAACCCTAATTGATTTTAAATTAGAAATTTGTGAAATTGGTTTTAATTTGATTGGGGTTTAGGGATAACATTCAAGAATTGCATTATTTTTTAGCATTTAAGGTTTACTAACCTATTGTAATTTTGATTTTCAAGTCTAGATATGGTGAACATCTTGTATGACTTGGTAGTGCACCATAACGAAAAGGTGATGACCATTGGAACATGGATCCAGATAGATTTTCCTTTATAAAGATGACAAATGATGTGTTCAAGTTGTTAGTGGATGATTCTAATGTTGGGATAGGTTGGGTATCTCCATTACGACACATCACATTAAATTAGAGGAGGTTTTTGAATTGAAGAATGATGATGTTTTAAAGCTATTCCAATTGAATGAAGGTGCCCACCTTCACTTGGACCTGATCTTAACAATTCCCCTGCAGATAATGGACTTTAGTATGTTTTTTGCTTTTGTAAATGTAAAGCCTGATTTTGTTACTAGGGTTAATGCTTCTGATGTTAATGTGAATGTGAATGTTGGTGTAAGTACTAGTAGAGGCAAGATAGGTGAGGTTAGTTCTAGTGATCTTAATGCCTCTACTTCAAGTATTGGTAGAGGCAGAGTTAGAAGTCAAGGTAAAGGTAAAGGTAAAGGACCTTCTCCTTTTGTTGATGTTGATGTTAGTGATGAAAATAGTGCTTCATCTAAGGACATATATGGGTTTAGTTTATGCAGTGAGGTTGTAGACTTGATGCTTGAAATAAAAAAGTGAGAGATAAGTTAGTCTCAAGATAATTATGAGAATTATGTTCAAGTTAAGTAACATCAAGCAAATGATGGTCTGTTTGATATTGGAAATGATGTCAAGGAAGGAAAGCAAGATAGCTCTGACTTTAACAAAGAAGGTATAACAATAACTAGGTCCCTTAGAGGAATCCCTGACACTTTTGATGAGAATAGAAAAGTTGTTCTAGTAGAGAACATGTTATTTACCAATGTGCTTCACTTTAGAGAGGTGATGGTAGATTACATGGTCTAAGAAGGGATAGAGATTTATAAAGCCAAAAAATGAGAAATAAGGTTTAAGGCATTCTATCAAGGAAATAGTTATGAGTGGATGATTCATGCAAACTTGTGTTTAGATAAAAAGACCTTTTAGATTAAAATGCTAGGGAAGGAACATTCTTGTATTAGGGTGAGTGAAAAAAATTCTATTGCCACAAGTGTGTGGCTAACTAAGAAATTTCTTGTTAAGTTGAAATTTGAGCCCAATATGTCTTGTAATCTAATGTAGTATGAATTGCAAGAGAGGTATGGATTGAGTGTTCATCCTAAGAAGTTGTATTGGACATAAAAAAAGTCCACAAAATAACTAAAGGGACTCTTAATAAGTCTTATTTATATGTGCATTTGTATGCCTAGATGGTGAGGGATACAAATCTTGGGAGCATAGCCATAATGCAGCTAGAGAGGCTTGAGGTCAACATGTACCCCACACTCAAAAGGTTTTTCCTATTTGTTGATGCTATAAGGAAAGGCTTCAACAATGGATGTAGGCCTTTCATTGGGGTTGATGGCTACCATCTTAAAAGGTCATAAGGTGGAGCCTTTTTATCTACCATTGCATGATGGGAATTGTTGTCTATTTCTAGTTGCTGTTGTTGTTGTAGAATTGGAGAATCGTCATTCTTAGGGTTAGGCTTTGATTTTTGAATTTGTTAAATGTTGCCATTGAGGACTTCAACAAACTATTGGTAGTGATGAGTGATGGCCAAAAGGTAAACCCTAAACCTTACTATTCTCCATTTGATTATTTAATTTCAATTACTTATTATCTATTTAATTAATGTGTCTTTATTCTTATATGACAAGGCTTAAAAGACGTACTTACAAAAGTAATGCCCCATGCAAGTCAAAGAAGATGCATAAAGCATTTGTATACCAAATTTTGACAAAGGTTCCCATTGAAAGCCAGTTATTGGATGATTGTCAAAGCTTACAGCCAATAAGATTGAATGAAGCTATGATGAAGATAAAGGCTGAAAATGATGATGCATATAAATGGTTTATGGAAAAACCACTAACATTTTGGCTAAGGCACACCTTTGACCCTAGTGTGAAAAGTGACCATGTAACCAACAACATGGTAGAAAGCTTCAACAAATGGATTCGGCTTGTCATAACCAAACCCATTTTGACTCTATTTGAAGAAGTTAGAGTGAAGATAATGAAGAGATTCTATGGCAGATATGAGTAGGCATGCACATGGGAGGGCCAAGTGATCCCAAAAATTAAGAAATTGGATTTTGCCAAGTACAGTGGGAGGTTTTGTAAGGTTGTGCCTACCTCAAATAATGAGTTTAATGTGTTTCAAGGTGACAAGACTTATGCAGTCAGCTTGGGGTGACTAGGATAACTTATCCTAATGGTGTTTGGATTATTTCAAGAATTTCCTACAAGCATACAGTAGCTTGCATAAGTCACAAAGGGGTGATATATAGCAATATTGTGACAGTTAATATACTAAATAGAAACTTTTATGCTAGCATACATTAATTACATTCACCCTATACCTGACATCACAATAGTTGAGTTTAGAAGGTAAGTTGATTCAGTGGATCCTTCAATGCGTTGTTGTATGCCTGGCAAACCGCAAAAGAATAGAAAATGGAACTTGGGGAAGTGCCATTTGGATTTGGTAATGCTAGGAGGATGAGCATTGTTAGGTGCACTTTTTGCCAAAGTCTTGGTCATAATAAAAAGACATGTCCTAAGGTTCTTGTGGGACATAATATGAAGGTAATCCTTACAAATAATTTAATCTTTTAACTTGCACATTAATTATGCAACTAATACATTTTTATATTTTAAATTGAAGTTAAATACCTTGTCTAAGTCTTCATCAAAAGTTGTTGGGTCTTCATTAAGAGCTCTTGGGTTTGCATCAAGAGTTGTTAGTGGGTCTACATCAAGAACATCAAGTGGACCTTCTGTTGGTGTATAAAAAAGACCTATTATTGCTACTTTAGGACATGGTGGTGCTGTTGCTACTATTAGAGGACATGGTGGTAGAGATGCTACTGTTGCTAGAGAACATGGTGGTGCTACTTGAACTACTAGATCTGCTTCATTTGTAAGGAAGCTTTCATTTCCTGCTAGACATGCTACCTTTGTCACCTTTACTTCTTTGATAATGAATTTTGTGAATGCATTATTTGAATCTGGCACTAATAATATTGGAAAGACACATGTAAATGTCTTTAATGTTGTTGATATGTGAATTTGATACAATTAGGGTTTTTTGTAGTGTTTTTACTAGCTGGTATGTAATTACAAAGGATATTTTGTAATTTTTCGCCTTTGTTTGTCTATCATTTTCTAGAGATGTGATATTGGATACTAATTATTGATTTTAATGTTAGACACATTGATAGTGGTCCTCTTTGGTAAAGCTGATGACACAAGTTCTTTTGTAAAATTACTAATTTTTCTATGCATAAAGGTTTGGGGAAAATAGTAGCCCTCATGTGCGTAAGGGACTTGATGTAACTATTATATAGGATATATATTGAATATCAATGTAAAGATGGTATTTCTTTATGCAGTTCTTGTATAGGATATATATTGAATATCGATGCAAAGATGATATTGCTTGTTCAGAAAAAAAGCCTTTATATTAACTTTTATATCACTTGTTACAGCTAAGCAAAAACAAATAGCGACAAAATAGGGAAGTTAAGCAAGGTGAGGAGGAATAATGTGGTGGTGTAGAAGAAACCATGTAAAGGCATGTATGATGGTTAGGCGAATAGGTATAGAGGCAATGCGACATGGAAGGGTGATACAAGGACATTAAGAAACATATAGGTCGAAGAGTCTAATACTCAGGTGAGGAGTGTCAAAGATGTTTGGGGGAAGTAGGATGGTGAGATAGTGATAGTATTTGTCAATACTTTACCACTGAAAGTTGGATGGAAGAAGTTAGGGGCTATTTGTCAATGATATGGGAACGTTTTGGATGTATTTGTCACATTGAAAAGAACATGAGGGAAGGAGAATAGGTTATGTGTTGTTTAAAACAATGATAGAGGAGAACAGGGTGATTTGGGGGTTGAATGGTTCATGGTCGCTTGATTATAGAATCTGGATGGATATGTCTAGGTTTGGTGCTAGAAACACGTATTGGAAAAAGAAGAAGGTCAATCACAAGAGAACATAGAAGGGAAAAGGTGAAAGGATGAAGAAAAAGTGAAGAGCCAAGAAGTTCAACAAAGAAAGATGGGAACTGTAAATTAGAGATCATTTACGGAGGCAGTTAAAGAGGGGAAGATGAAGGAAGACAAGGTATTGATGGGCGAAGAGGTGGGAAAGAGGTGCTAGCTTGCGAGGGAATTATTAAAGAAGATAAAATGTAATGGTTGAGGCAAAGTGTGGTAAGGTTATTGTCATATCCCATTTCCTGAAGGGATTGTGAGTAGCGCAAAGACTCAAACAAATACAACCCACTGAGCCTAAACAAGCCTCTTAACCTCAATCAATCATCAATCACATACAAGCATAGATAAATGTAAACATAAGCATCCATGCATTGGCATAAGTACACACTTATGGCCTTTTCGACATAAAAAGAGTACATGTTTCTCATTCATAAAATATGTACCCAGTACACTTAGCATAAAATCTGTAAACGCACCTCAGGTGCTCATATAGGCTCGTAGGCCATCATTCACAATATTCACATAATCTCATGAAATAATTTTCCATTTCAAGGTTGAACATTCGAGTATCAACATATATAGAGATAAACTAAAATATAAAGATTGACCCATTAGTAGAGCATAACTCGAATCACTAGGCATCAAGTAGCTGCTAGACACCTACCAATGACAAATGAACGGATCGTGACTCTTTGACACTAGCTACTAGCAATAGAGTGCTATCACTGATCTGCAACAAAATAAATAAGAAAAATAACGTGTGAGTCATAAAGATTTCGTGAATGGATACGGGAAGGGGATAAGCCAAAAAGTGTTTTGTAAACATGTCCTTTATAATCTCATGCCATTCGTAAACTATTTAACCATAAAGTCTATGAAACATGGTATTCTTTTTAGGAGTTCTAAAAATGAGCAAGAAATCTAGAACCTTTTAACAAGAAATCTAGATTTTTAGCTTTTGATTTGAGGGAGATTGTTTCAACAAGAACACTAAAAGGAAGAGAAATTTTGTCTTAAAATTCATCAAAATAACGAAACTTGACAACAGGACTTTTCAGTTTAGTGAAAGATATTCTTTTGGGACAGACTATTGATAATACTATGTTGTAGAGTTATTTGATCACAATTTTGGGTGAATGTAGTCCAAAGTTCTTGAGATTTAATTTAAGTACTAGTTATTTTAGTCATTTATTTTATTTAAGTTAATTATATTATGTTCAATTGCTTTAAGTTATTTTAGTAGATTTTTCTTTAACTCTAGTTATTATTTAAGTTAGTTTATTGCTTTTGTAGGTGTGTTATGAAAATGGTGATATTTTGAGAAGAAGAATGCATTCAAGATGCGAACTTTTTCTACCCATATTCTAGTATTTTCAGCATATCTTTCACTACAAAAGTTCAATTGATGTGATTCTTGAACCATTGGAAAGCTAAAAAGCAGATTTATTACTTTTAAGTTTACCACTTTACCCAGTTCATCTTTGAAAAAGGAGAAAATCACGTCACAATGGAATGAAGTGTAGCAGAAGCTAGAAATTCAAGTCAAAGCATAGAGGGCTATGGCCATGGGAGAAAGGAGTGCTATAGCACCTTGACAAGGCAAGGATGCTTCATCAACTTAGAGTACTCGGTGCTACGGCCACCTAGTTTGATGGTTAATTTTTTTTTTTGGATGATGTTTTTAGTAGTTATATGAAACTAAATTTTTTAATCTAGAATCACAATAGAACCCAATACGTAATTTAAATTTTTAATATTCTTTCTGGCTTATAATTAATAGTGTTTGAGTTGTTTATTTCAATCATGTTCCTAATGCGTCTGATTACTTGGTCACCGATTAGATTTTTTTGAAAACCTAAACAGAAATTGAATACGGAGTTAAGAGTAAGCCATGGATGAAATAGCATATCCTCAATATCAAATACATGAGATGATTGATTTGATTCATGTGTAGGGTAGGAATACACTTACGTGTCATATATAGCTATATTTAGAGTATAAGCTTAATGAGTCTTTCTTAATTTTAATTTGCATAGGAATATAGTAAGTTGGTTAAGGCATATATTTTTATAAAAACATCGGAAGAGACTTATAAATATATTAAAACTATATTAACATCTTGAACTTATCTAGTAAGCAAAAAGAGAATAAATAAAATTTAGATGAAACATTGAGGAGATGTTGTAGTTTTAGACTTTTGATTGATTAATTCTACTTAAATTGTTACTTTTACTTTCAGTTTTAGTTTTAGTTTCTTTAATTTTTAGTAGCTCTAACTTCAGTTGTTTGGGTAAAATTAAGTTGAGTTAATTTTAGTACTTAAGAGAAGGATTTGGGCAATTCTTCATGAGAACGAACTTTTTTTTCTATTATATTACTTGTTAACGATACATGCATTTGCGTGGTAAATCCGACAATAATTACATATTTTGAAAACTAATGAACTCATGTAAAATTATATGTAAAACTTAAAGATGTTAGTGTATTTTATCCAGAAAATAATGATTTGCATTGGAAACTTAAGTGGCCAAGCTAGATCCCAATCTTCTCTAGTCTTCTCCAATTATGCTAGATTGAACATTTAAATTTATAAAATTTGGGATTGCTTTAATTTGTTTAATTGTTGAAGGAAGCCCCTTAGTCATTTTTTAATGAGATTACATTTACGGTTATGATTCATCCCATCTCTTGTTAACAAGGGATTTATAACATTTTATCTTATCAAATTTTCATTCAATTATGCAATCCACAGAGAAGAGGGAGTCACCATAATCCAAACTTCTACTCTAACATCTTTCAAGAGAGATCTACTTTAGTGAAAATTTAGATAAGCTTTGATAATAATTATAATAAGTCCACATTTCAACTTAAAAAACATGGCTAAAAAACCTCTTTTTAAATCCAAAATTCATTCCACCTTTGATGTAAGATCCATAACATGACACCTTGCGGGCTTCCGATATTAAACTTAAAAATAGGTTCCAGCAATAACTAAAACAGAGAACCTCGATGCTACTATAGAAGTTCTTTCTTTATCAGAATTCTGCAAGGTTAAAACTTTTAAAAGGCACAATGTCCTGTTAAAATAAATAAATAAATAGGGACGCACGATTGAGATGTAACTATAGTGCCAATGGGAAAAAACCCTCACTTGCCTTGACCAGAATAGAATGCAAAATGGCTGAACCATGCCATCTATACACTGCAAAATTAATACGAACCATTCTTTAAAACGGGTGTGACTATATAAATGCAAATATGGCATCTCAGTCAAATGCAAACAACTCATCTAACTGCTCATCAGTCCATTGTGGAAGTAAGCCAGTTGATATTGGTAGCCGTCCTTGTTTCTTGTCTCCATTGTCAGTCACATTCTCCTGGTAGTTAGCAACGCCAACCAAGTTTGCACCACCGCTGCTTTGGTTGCTTTCCAGGTGATTGCCACTTGCTGCCAGATTCCGTGGGCTGGACTGGTCCTCCAGCGCAACATTTTCCTCACACTCATTGGTGCCAGCTAGTACTGCAGCTTTTTTCAATCCGCTGAGAATATCCTGCCGCACTGAATGTCCCTTCGCTACGAAGGCATTTTGACTTCTATTTCTCTCCTTAATACAGCAGCTGCTTCCCAGTGCTTCATCTCCTTCAATTCCTTTATCATTATGCACTCTCCCTTTCATGTAACCAGTCTGTCTGAGGCTGTTCATAATTCCTTCAGTTCTCTCTTGTGACAGAGTGGACACTTTCTGTTGGATATATGGCTGTTTACTGTTTTCTGCAGGAATGAAAGTAGATAAACAATCACAGTAACATTCAGCGGTACTATTAAAACAATCTGACACTGATGATAAAACCAGTGGCCAAGTGGTCCATCCCAGGATAAAAGGTGTTGGGAGTAGCTTATATCATCTGTTTGGTTCCAAATCTAAGCAATAGAAGATGGAGGGGGGTAATTTTGCATTGTGTAACCTACCCGTTGAATAGGGAAAGAAACCAAAAAAAATTATCAATTATACTCCAAGTAGAACAAAACCAAAACTTTTCCTGGTTAGATAACAAAGAGAAGCCATTCGTCAAAGAAATCTGTCACCTACCAACACCATGATCGGTTGGAATGACTGTTGATACAGGATAATTCTGTTGTGACTGAGGTCCACTATCCTTTGAGATTGCCTGCAAAATTTGTAAATAATATCAGCAAGTAGTGTAAGTATCTAGGGTTTCTTTTAATGCAAAAAGTAGATTTAGAAAGGCTTTTCCTCGGATTTTAGATGTTTGAGATCTTTATTTATTAAAATCTCAACATTCATATGCATTTGATTTTCACAGTTAAAGTTTTAAGTAGCAAGTAAATTTCTAAACTTAAAGATTTGTGTGAAAGCCATGCCTTAGGGAACAATCGATATGTAACAGTGGTAATGGGAAAAACTTCCACTCATGCATATAAGACCAGAAATCATATCATAAGCAGTTATCAACATGGCTGTGGCCGACATATTTACCAGCTACCAGGAACATGATTGTTTAATTAGTAATCACCAAAGCATGACAACATGATAACTTGAAACTAATGTGCCAAGGCCACTGGCTGGAAATTCAAGCACACAGGTCCTTTGAAGAGCTTACTTGCACAAGTTACATTCATGGCAGTGCATGAAGTTCGGAAAGGGCATACTTCAAGAATCTAGCGAATTAGATGTATCTGATATTGTGATTGTTCAAGTTGAAAAATAATGCTTTGCATCAATAGAACATAGATAGTAGTTAAAATTTCAGATGCCTTAACCATGCTCTATACAATTTTGAGACTATAAATTCTAGTCAGAAAAAATAGATGCAACTACAAAAATTGAAGTATATTTTATGGGCTAAACGCTCAAATTAGGGTTAAACATTAGGACACTTTTTCAATTAAGGGCCAAACGTTTTAATTGTAACAATCAAAGACCAAACGTTTTAATTGTAACAATCAAGGACCAAACGTTTTCGATTTCTGACAATTAAGCGCTAAGTTGACAAGTTGATAGAGCATGTATCACAGGCGACAAAAAGTTGCATTGAAAATATAGTTGGTACACGCCATTTTAAAAATTTAATTGTTACACGTCATATTGAAAAATATAGTTATTACACGTCATGTTAAAAATTTAGTTATTACACGTCATAATAAAAAAGTTGTTAAACACCACGCCATAACTTAAATTGCTTTGACTTGACAAAAAAGGCTTTTTGACAAAACTATTCTTCTGTATCTTACCCTTCCAAGTTAACATCCACATCATGCACATGTCCTACATGCGCCAAACATCTCTCACCTTAGCCCTTAATTTTAAAGAACTGAAAACGTTTGGCCTTTAATTTTTACAATTGAAACATTTGACGCTAAATTGATAAAAATCCAAAAGTTTTGACCCCAAATTGAACGTTTAGTCTATTTTATAAGGAATCAAGATTAAGTGTCGCACACAGGCATTATACGACGTAGGTATATTGTGTTTGAAATTTTTTCATTAATTTCAAGGATCTGAATATAGAATCTATAAGAATTCAAGGTACCTAACAAGTGTTGAACATAGGTACTTTAGGTCGTCCTTGTCAAATAGCATGCTGATGAACTTTTATATCTGTATCTATACTAACTGGTTTTAATGCACAAGGCATACTCTGGGCTTAGGACATCAAGTCAACTATGCTGCAATATACGTAGGAAAGCAAGTAATTATAATTTGATAACTAAAAGCTTTTGGTTGGATTACTTATAAGCTAAGAAGAATTTAGTTACATGTTGGGCATGCACCATTTTGCAAAGGACAAGTTAAAAAGTACTCAGACATTTGACTGACCTGTATTAAGGAAATCAAAGACATTTAAGTGGTATTCAAGAGTCACTAAGTTCAATTGTAGCAATTTGGTGAAGAAAAGAAACACCCTCCATAAGAATGAATGTTTTAGGAATTGGTATATCATAAATAGCAGGACCAAAACGGAAAATCTAGAATTTGAGATGGTAAAGCGTTGATGAGAACTATGAGGTAGAGTTAACATGCTTTACTTTGAAATAATGGATCATTAATGTAGTGTGTTGGCAATGACCTGATAAGAGTAAACTTCAAATGAAGTTGAAAGTCCTTCAAGCACAAAGAGGTAATAGAAGAGGATTATAAGTGCAATAACAAAAAGAAAAAGGAAAATTTCTCATGTGCTAGACATTTTGAGCATTGGTTGGTAAACTATGTCTATGACCAACAAGACAAAAAAATAGTATGCATGGCAAAGCATAGACAGAGAAAATATGAGTCCAATTGAAATTATCACAATCATTTCAAACTGTATAAATAAAATAGAAAACAGCTATTTAGGACTGGGACTAGCCCAATAGGGAATAAGGTCTAATTCTGACTTCACTAAATGCTGTCTTCAATGCAATCTAAGCTCAGTTAAGAGACCACCAGCCTGAATTTTACGCCATACATGGACTCCAGAAAGCAACATATCAAACAAAATTTCTCCGATTGTATACCGTCCATGATTTTTAAGGATTGGCAATAATGGATACAGAATTGAAACCATCTGTCATGACAATTTCTAGAAAGAACCACTTCTTAACAAAGTTTAATCGTCAAGAAGTTGTTGTTCAATGTTAAATATATTTTTATATTTTGCATTGGTAGCTGGAAATATGGTTCCAATTAGGCCAAACGAGCTTGAGAATATGGGAAAGAGAGATGTGACTAGAACGAAGGCAAGTGCTCTAACAGGAGTATTGAGTCTAAAGATTCACTAGGAAGTTTGTTAATTTTAAACATGTACCTTGACAACATTGCTGAGTGTTATATTGAGATAGCATGCAGAGCGCGAAGGTGAGAAAATTGAAACCTGAAAAGACAATGCTTCAATCAAACTCTTGACACAAATGACAACATTGAAAACTCTAATTTGATACATGAAGTTCCACAGGCAAAATTCCCCTACTAGAAGCCATATGAATGAGAATATCACACTAGTTCTAAGATATAAAGTATAACACCACACTCTGTACACATTTACCAATCATGACTTAAATTATATTAATAATTGCCCAAAAACAATAGAAAAACCTTCTGCAATATCAAAACTGTGCCAACAGATATGTCTTTTCCAAACCCTCCCTCAACTAGGACTTTGCGATGAATACTAGCATCAATTGTACCTGTAGGATCCTGAAATCAAATCATAGGCTCATCAAATGTTCTTAATATATAGAGAGCATTGAACTAAAAGAAGAGAAAAAGAAAATTAAGAATGCATTACAAGCAAAATCCTCTAGTTATTTTTACCTTGAGAGTCACCATCAGATCACCAAGACCATTTGGGGTACAAGATTTGATAACGGCAACAATCTAATTGAATATAAAATTAGAAATTGAGAAAAAACTAAATATCAATTGCACTCTTGTATTAAATAGATAAGTTTATTTAACCTTGGAACCTTATATTTCCATCAGTTGGACTACTGATTATATGAAAAGCATTTTGAGTTATTGAAAAACATAAAAAACAATGTACATGGCAAACTCAAGAGTCCCCACGCTGTCAACCATTGAAAAAGCCATACCTGAGCTACTTTTCTATTGCCCATTTTAGGTTCAGTCTTGATCCAGCTCAAAGGAGTACCAATTGTCCCGCCATCATCAGCCAAACCTTTCGTCAAAAACAACCAAACAATATCTAAAGTCTAAACACCAAGAAACCCAGAGATCTAAACCGCTTTGCTTATTACTTTAGATACTAGCTTTTTACTTTCTCAAAAATTGCTGCAAGGCATAATCATAATTTGACAGTGAATGAACAAACCACAAAATTGCATCCCTAAATTTAACATAAACGAAGTCTAAAAACAATTAAGAGACTAAAAAAGGAAAGAAATAAGAACCTTCGCGGCGAATAAATTCGACGGCAAAAAGCCAGGGATCACGCGAGAAGTCGTCATCGTCGGCGCCAGGATTTTCTACGGCCCTCCTAATATACTCCTGGGTTGGAAGGGGCTCTTCGCCAATGCCGACGCGATTGCTTTTGTTCTGAATTTTTCGAAGCATTGCGGCTTGAACGGCTCCGGCAGGGCCAGGGATGAGGCACGGAGAAGAGGGCGGTGGAGAGTTTGGGGTGGGTTGAAGATTCTTTATAGGAGATGGAGGGGGAGAGTATTGGGGTTTGCGTTTGCAAGGGCGGAGAAGGGAAGGGAGGTCAGAGGCGTCGAGGTCAAGAGCTTCCCAGGGGTCTGGCTCCATTGTTGTCTTTTGAAACGCGGGAAATGGAGTTTGGGGGGGTATTTTCGAAATAAATGGACACTGATTTATTTTACTGCATCGTATAGCCCCGTTTGTAATGCTCAATTATATATTCACACATTTTTATTTGATCATTTGTTTGTTAACCAAAATCATTTAAGACTAATACTATCTCGTGGTCCGCGTTTGAAGCGAGGAAAGTTGCTCAAATTTCCCTCATAATGAGTGGTAAAATTACTTTGCCATGTTTGATAAAGTTAAAAATCAATATAATATAAAAATATATCGTAATTACATAATAATTGACGGAAGAAATCACATTATCATCAAAAATTACTGTAATGTTACTTTACCATTTTTTTGGCAAAAATAAAAAATATGATTTACCATTATTGACTTCATTTTGTTTTAACTCAACATATTTTTTTTTCAGCTAAATATCAAAATAAACCTCCGAACTATATCAAAAAAATTAATTGAACCCATATCTTTTTATTGCATTCAAATAAAACCTTTAACTCTTATTTTAAATCAAATAAACCCATATCTCTTACCGTAAACTCTTTTTTTTAATCAACTGTACAGTAAGTAATTTTTTATGTCACGTCATTTGTCACATGACATGTTGACATATCATCTTCATGACATCAATACCATGTGACAGACGACATAACATAAAAAAATTATTGACTAAAAATTGGGTTTTTTTCTTTTAATTCATCCAAATATCTAAAAATTATTGGTTAGGAATTTGAAATAAAAAAAAAAGTAATTGCTTCAAACTTACCATTGTTTCTTAATTGAATGCCATCTTAATAATTGAAACCATGATTCCTAACAAAAAAAAAACCCTAATCCAATGTTTTCAATTTGATTAAAATCATTGTTGCTCTACTAAAAGTTGGAGTAGAGAAATTTAAGAATACCTAGAAATGATTTTGACAAGAAGATACTTACAAGAGTTCGGAGGCATAGGTTTTACACCTAAGATAGATTATCATAATTAATATTTTCTTTGTTTTTCATATCTTGCAAATCTTTGATTGCCTACTTCTTTCTTTACAAAATTTTCTATTTTCTTGCTGTCACCTTATAATCATTTTCAAAAATCCCAAACACAACAACTTTAATTTAGCTATCCTTTTCTCAAAATCATTTTAAGTATTTTCATATTTCTCTATACCAACTTTTAGTAAAGTAACAATAGCTTCAATGGGAAAAGTTAGATTAGGTTTTTTTTTTTGGTTGAGAGTGATGGCCATAATTAAGAAATTGGTAATTAGTTAAAAAATAATGACAATCAGTTTGAAACAATTAGTTTTTTTTTATTTCTTATTCCAAATCCTTAACCATTAATTTTTGGGCATTTGAATAGATTAAAAGGAACAAACCCAATTCTTAGTTAGCAATTTTTTTATGCCAAGTCATCTGGCGCGTGGCATTAATGTCATCAAGATGACACATCGTCATGCCACGTGGTAGATGACATGGTATAAAAATTGTTGACGAAACTATTGATTAACAAAAGTTAATTAACAGTTAAGGCGAAGAGCTTATTTGATCCAAAATAAGAGTTTTGGGATTTATTTGAATGTAATAAAAGGATAGAAGCTAAATAGATTTTCTTGATATAGGATAGAGATTTATCTACGCATTTAGTCTCCTCCTCCTCCTCCTTCTTTTTCTTCTTCTTCTTCTTCTTCCCCATCTAGTCTAATGTACCACTTTAAACGTTACCAAACTGAAAATTAGATGTGGTCACTTTCCTCTGTTCTTTCACTCTCTTTAGCTACGTCATTTGTATCGTAAAGAAAATTCTAATAAACAAAGTCTAGATTTAGAGCTTTTACAACAAATTTAAAGAAGAAACATTTAAAAGAAAAAGTCTCTAAAATAAAATTTAAAAAATCTAAAGAAGTGGCTCCTTTATTTTGTCTAATTAAAAAAAAATCAATTTTGTTTAATTTAATAACAAATCACCAAACTCTTGAATGGAATTTTTATAAAAAAGAGAAAAATTGAAATGAATTTTTGCAAAAGAAAATAATTATAAATTTTTTTATTTAAAAATTTCCAAAAATAGTATTTTACATTCATGAAACAATAAAATTTATAATTCAAATCTAATTTTTTTTTATCTTATTTTTAGACTTGAAATTTGAATGTGTAAAATGATATTAAAGTCTAAAAAGAAGAGGTTCACAATGAGGTGGATGATCGGTGAAGAAAAAGGTGCATTTATTGGGATGTGACAAAGTTAGTATTAAAGTTCTAGGTTCATAGAGTCTTAGGCTTTCTTTGGTTTCAACGGAATGTTTGGAGTCATGTGTAGGAATCTTATTTATGTTTTGTGTACCTGAGTATAAATTGAGAACAAGAAACTTGCATATAATTTATTGTTTGTTTGCCCATATTATGAAAAAGAGTTATGTCTATAATTACTGTGAGTCTATAGCGTTGAATCTTACAATATGTGGTTGATCTATTCTAGGTAAGATATGCCATCCAAGGTGCGAGCTAGTGGTAGAAATAAGGTAGAGCATGAGACTTCTGCAAACATTAAAGTTAGACCATAAATGCCCATTACTAGGGGTTGTGGCAAGTACGATAGAGCATGAGGCTCCCATAGAGGTTACAAACAAACCACATATGCCTACTATTTGAGGTCATGGCAAATGCAGCAAGACCGCTTATTTGAAGATAACTGATACCCCCACCAGTGCACAGTAAGGGGATAAAGGTCCTAAAGTAGTAGTAAATTCCCTAGTTTGAGCAGCAAGACTAGTATGGGTAGAATTGCCCACTGACAAACATGTGGAGATTATCTACCTATAGTTGAGATTATGATGAATTGATATTCCATATAGCCAGAACCCATGATTTACGTGTGCTAGTTTAAGCGAGAGTGTTACCTAAAGCTTGAGTTATGATTAGAAAAAATTTTTAAAGTAAGAGACTCTTTATGAGGCAATATTGACAAGGTCGTATGTTTGAATTCTAGTGGCTCAATAGATGGGTAAAACTATTAGAAATTCTTGATCATAGACAAACAGAGATAAAACTACATATGTTGTTCATGAGGTGTCGATGATGATCCTTAGGTTGAGTACAATCCTTGATGATGAATGAAGAATTATGGATAATTGATTGTGGCAATAAAACATAGACTAACGCGAACAAGTAAATGATTTTTTTATGAGAGGTACCCAATACTTTGACATTACCCTAAATGTGAAGGGTAATGAGAAATTATGTTAAAAATTTTGAGGAAAAGATGCTTGCTAAGAAACTAAGGAAAGTTGAAAGGCTTGACCAGTTGATAAAGAACTAAGATATGCCTATTTGATTTATGATAAGGTAGATACCTTATGTTTAAGACATGGTCGAAAGGATTTAGAATTTGAAGGTCTTAAAGGTATAAGACTAGTCCTTGTTGATGAGATTTCAACGGATATTACTAAGGATAAATTGATGACGCATGGGAGTCCAAGTGTGACATGTCAAAATCAACAATGAAGGATATTAGCAATTTTAATTACTAAATGGTATTAACATCACAATTTCCAAGGTAAAGCTTTATTTTTAACAATGCACAAGTAATAAGTTGACCTTGTAATGATTAAATGAAGAAATTACTCTATGGTAACGTTAACTATGTGGGGAAGTACTACCCAAGTTAGATATCGAGGATTATGACTGGTGACGTGACATTGATCGTAGCCATTTATTTTAGGGACACTATATAAGTCTCCACAGGCCATTATTCATCATGGCATAAGGAATTGTTATGGCAGGGTAAATAAAAACAAACGTTAACTATTGAGAGATTTAGGATCATCACCCTTTTGATGAAGGTGTTGGTGGCAAAATACGAAAATAAGACTTGCATGGTCTAGATTTAGGAGAAGAACACCCAAGCCAATCTAATCTTGATGGAAATGCTTAAGTTTGATGTGATATTGGGTATGGATTGGTTGTCACCCAATAATGCTAACGTTGATTGCCGCTTCAAGGTGGTAAGCTTTAACTATTCAAGCGAGGCACCCTTTAGTATTCGAAGGGATCATATATGGTAACAAAAAGTCTAGTTTCAACCTTAGAGGGTAAGAGATTGATTAGTTATGAATGTGAAGGATTTGTGATGATAGTTAAGGACGCCCATATGGTAGTGGTTAAAGCGGTCGTCATGCTAATTTTGAGATAATTCATTGATGCATTTCTCAAGGAGTTACTAGGATTACCTTCATATAAAGACATAAAGTTTTGCATTGACATGGTGCAAGGTACAAGTCCAATATCTATTCCACCATACCAAATGACACCTGCAGAGCTCAGAGAGTTGAAGGATTAGTTAAAAAATCTATTGGGAAAAGTTTTCATTCGTCCTAGTGTGTCGCCATGGGGTACGCCGATGCTATTCATGAAAAAGAATGATGGGTCAATGAGGTTGTGTATAGACTATAGATAGTTAAACAAGGCAATGGTGAAGAATAGTTATCTTTTACCACATGTTGATGACTTATTTGATTAGCTTCAAGAAGCATAATATTTTTTTAAGATTGATTTGAGATTAGGCTACCATTAGTTGAAGATTAAGTTTAAGGATGTGCTTAAAACTACTTTTCATACTAGGTACAGATAGTATGAGTCTTTAATGATGTCGTTCAGACTTACAAATGGCCTAATTGCTTTTATGGACATGAACATTTATAACACTTTTTACCAAGCTTAAGCACAACCTTTACAATGCCTTTTAACGGAAGTAAGTACAACACACACTAACTTTTCAAGGCTAAGTTAGAACCTTTACACAAATGTTTACAATAAGAAAATAGCAATAAATGCCTCTTCAAGGTTGATAAGCTAAGCGTTTAAGATTAAAAGAGAATGAGCACAATTTATCTCACAATATGAGCTCAAGAATATCAATGAATGGCATTGAATGCTTTGAAGGAATGATTTAAATAAAATGTTAGAGAGGAGTAAATGAAGCTAAAGCTTTTCTCAAATATTGAAGCAATTTTTAGAGTTTTCTCACTTCTCAAAATGGGTGGGAAGCCTTATTTTA